TTTTCGAGAGCTTGGAGGGCCAAGACAATCTGGCCTTCATCGTTTTTCTGTGGCATATTGAATTTGCGGAGAATGTAGGTGTAAAAGAGAGATGTCGCGTGGACGCGATTTCGTGGAGCTTTCGGTGATATGGAGCTTTCGGTGATAAACCACGTTATGGTGAGTTGACATTTTAAAAGTGGGTTCAAAAGCAGAACAGTGAAATTACTTACTACTCGATCTCGGTAAATCTTCTTAGGACAATGCCAATATGCTTTTACCATTTCCAGGGAAAAGGGATTGGTGCCTATCGTGTGTGATAGGCCTAGGTTGAAAAGGTCAAAGTCGTCAGCAGTAGGTTAATGTGCAGGGAGAGAAGATCGGGGTTGTAGGGTAGAGGTTTTGGTAGGTGGCGTCCTCTTACGTCTGTTGCTAGGAAGGGCATGTCCCCTGAGGTCGCTGCTTCATGTCTTTGTCGGACTCGTCCATAAACTTGCATTGAAACCATCGTCATCATATAAAATTGGGCTGGGCGCATGCCGACGAGACATCTTTCTGATAAAGAGCTATATGACTTCAGTACTGCTACTGACCTGCTTCGGGATAAGGCACAGAATTCTTGTCATGCAGTGATGTCAAACTGTTGGAATACTCGGAGTCGGCACATCCATTCCCAAGGGTACATGCTTTGAGCTGGAAGCATATCTAAAACAATGGACGTCACGACGCTTTGCTTATAAATCTAATTCCGGGCGAGGAATTCTGCCGGGTCGGACGAAATGTTCGACCGGAGGGGCCAATTCACATTGCAAACCCAAGAGGTCCCTTCAACTACATATATAAGCCCATTTCACCTCCCTACATGCCGTAAGTTTTGAAATACGAAGCCTTGCATTTCGAACCTTTGGGCCATCTCGAAATGTCACCAACCTCCGACAAACCGCCTCTCAACCCCCAGCCCGTCTCATTTTTGGGACTGGGGAACATGGGCCTGGCCGTGGCCGAACGTCTCCTTGGAACAGGTCACAAGATAACTGTCTGGAACCGAACGCCCTCCAAAGCCAATTCTCTTGTTGCCAAGGGAGCCACTCTAGCTGAGTCCCCTTCGGCGTGCGTGGTAGCAAGCCCCATCGTCATCCTCTTCCTCCTCTCCGACGCTGCCACGCAAGAAGTCCTCTCCACCGTACAAGACTTCAGCGAGAAAACAATCATCAATCTCACCAACGGCACCCCATCTCAAGCGCGTAATAGAGCAGCCTACGTCGCAGCTCGTGGCGCGCACGCTTACCTTCACGGCGCGGTCATGGTACCCCCTATGCTCGTCGGACAGCCCGAGTCCCTCACGATCTATTCGGGCCCGCGGTCTGCATTTGAGTCCATCGTCACAGTCACCGCCGCCCTCGGCGCGTCAACACACGTCTGTGAGGATGCTGGCATGGCGGCGCTGCTGGACAACGCGCTCCTAAGCATCATGGGCGGCTTGTTTGAGGGGTTTGTGCAAAGTCTTGCCCTGGTCGGCAAGGCTGGAGTCGACGAGGTCGAGTTTACCACCGGACTGGCTGTGCCGCTGCTAAAGGGATTTGCAGGCTGGTTGCCGCGGATTTCTGAACAGGCGAGGAGCAGGCAGTATAGGGGCGGGTCGACCTTGTTGATGCAGTTGGAGGCCCTAGATAATATTGCGGAAACCGGGAGGGAGTTGGGGTTGGAGCGCATACTGCTGGAGTCTTTGAGGAGTGTAATCAGTGAGGCGGTGATACGGGGAAAGGGGGAGGAAAACGTTGCCGGTCTGGTTGGGCTTCTAACAGATCAGTGACGGTGACGGGGACTTGAAGCTCTAGTGTTTAGCGATTTGCCAGCCAAGATATACCATGTCCAAGGTATCGTTGCTGAACTGGCAACAGTGAACAGCCATCTTTGCCGCGGTGTCGCGCTGTGTGCAGATAGCCTCCCCTAAGGAAGGTGGTCTACGAACTCAGCAAACAGCTTATAAATAAGCTCAACATCTCTGTTCTGCTTCATATCAGCTGACCTATCCTCCCATTGTCACACTTGTATAAAGATTGACTCGGTTGTAGCTTCTATGAAAACACCTCGCTATCTACATGATCAATAGTGCCATTCTCCCTAAAACACCAAGCAGGCCCCGGACCTGTCCAGGCTTGCCGAGCCAAACTGAACAAACACGTCTGCGCTACGGACGTTTCCAGGCCATCGACGGTATTCACAATGCCATCATTTAAGCCCATTTACCTCTTCCGACACTTCCCATTCTATATGAAACCGCGCAATGACCGGGAGCATATAGGGCCGGGGAATCTGCTCCTCCAGTCACGGTGTCAGTAAGAAGTACCACATCGCGCCGAGATGCCTGTTAACAACGTCGGTCATCCACGAGAAGGTACTTCGCAGCTCAAGAGTGATGCCCGGCCAGTGGGCGAGCTACAGAAGCGAACTTGGTCATATCAGAGTTCTGGCGATCCCCGTTTTAGGGAGTTATCCGAGAGCTTACACATGCTGGAACCATTCCTTAACGAATTTCAAACTCAATTCCCCTGGGCTCTTCTTGTACATCTCTGCCACTGTGGTGGAGAACGGTTCATTCATGGTTCCTCCAACAGCGGTGGTCGTTGTATTCACAGCATGAGGAGTAGGGCCAATGTCACTCAGGGACATTAACATGAACCCTCATTGGGATCGGCGCTGCCGAAAAGAGTCAGTTGTGCTTGAGAGAGTTCCCTACTCCTACTCCTTGCTGTATGTCCGCCTGCACAGCAGGAAGGAGGCAGGGAGCACTCACCGGTAGCGCCAGTTGCCATAGGTTGTGTCACCGCCCTTGCTGCAACTGACAATCTCAGATATGAGGCCATTATAGCACTCGTCGGCACCAATGGTCTTCTTCGACGGGGCGTTGGGGCCCGTGAGGCCGACAGTAAGCTTGACGTGCTTGCCGCCGCCAATGCCATAGCATTTGACGCGCGTCTCGCGCTTCTGGTATGTGCCCTTGAGGGGGCCGTTGCAGGCCGTCCGGGCTGCTTTCAAGGCAGCGTTCTCCTGGCTGCCGAAGCTCGCTCCGCTCTCGAAGCAAGCCCGCCTCTCCAAGGTGTTGACAGGGTTGTCGACGGGGTTGGCAATGGAGGCAGCAGAGGCCAGGCCAAGGAAGTTGATTGCAACGAGGAGGAGGGTTGAGGTCTTCATCTTGAAAATCGTTGCAAATGAGTTTCAGGTCCAACAATAATGAACTGTGTGCAAAGCTGATTGTTTCTTGCACTGGGAGGTTAGATGGTTGTTGATGGCCCGGTGTGCAAGTCGATGGCCTAGGGGAATATCAAACACCTTAATATAGCGCTTGACGCTTGCGTTCCAAACATTCGCGGGATAGCATTCGCCCTGTCTGAGTCCGAGAAAGCCGTTCGGGTTCTCAGTGGCTCCGGGGCTTACGCTCTCTTAACCCGACAATTGTTCCGGGTCTTACAATTTCCAGTCCCGTTGCAACCTGCTAACGTGAAGTACGGCCGCTTATTCCTTAAAGAAGAAGGTGATTAAATTACCCTGCAGCTAATCTCTATACAATTGCATAACACGACCAATACGACATCGTTAATACGACTCTATGTGTCGCTTTCCGCCCCGTTCGGATAGATACTGTCTCCGCTGTGGACTCAGAGTCGTATATTTCTGTCAAACAAAGTTCCTGCTCTTAGAATTCCCGGAATATGGAAACTGTGCTGCTCTAAGTGAGTTGTGAAGTAAGCGTCAGTTTTTAAGGAGATTTCAACTTTTCAAGAAGCTACTGATAGACCATAGCGACTAGTCATGCGTTAAGTCGTAGGACCTGAAGTCATTAATACACAGTATATATGCTTCTCCTTTACCTCCCGTCCACATTCCTACATCGGCCACCGTTTTCACTTGACACGACCCTTTCCTCAGACCTCAACCTCCATCAGACGTCAACAAGCTCGTTACCACCGTTGAAAGCACGGCCGAGTCTCGTAACTGAGGTTCCATCCAACCTTAGACAATGGCTTCTGGCCACGCAGAGCGTAGGATACCTTAAGAACCTTTGACCCGACATGACCAACGACGACGCCGCTCAGGCCGACTACCACCCAGCCTCGGACCATGGCTCTTGGGACGTGTTGGAGCTCCGCAAAGCATGGAGCGGAGCCTGAAGCACTCGAGAGCACTCCTGTCATGGACCTGACCGACGATGCGAGCCCTCCCGCGCTGGGCCGCGTACCGCAGCCGGAGATTGGAATGCCTTACGGTTTACCCCACCTCTCCAAGACTGGTGTTGAGGGACGGTCGCCATACAAACGGCAATAGCGGAATTGCCTCCCTCCGAAAATAGGTCCAATCATGGAGATCACGTCTCTTCTCAGTCGACATTTCGTCGCCCCTTTACTCAGGTATTGACACCCAGTGCCGCCCACACACTATCTGCTAATCAGGCGATGAAATACCTAAGGTAGATGAGATACAAAGGAGGACGTAAATATCAAAATGCTTGAAGCCGCCGAAGTCGTATTACTAGCGATGTTCTGCCTTCAGAGATCCAACTGGAATGTAAAGAACCTTCCCTTCTAGTGGCTTCTTTCCTTCCCTTGCTTTGTCAAGTATTCCTCACGTTCAGCTCTCAGCAGAGAATACTGTGAAGCTACGAGCCCCGGCCCAGTGCCGGGTCGCTTCCCAGCGGGGTCGTACGACACTCACACTGTTGCGCCGGAACTTGCCCGGACGCAAACCCAGACCCAGAGCTGCAGCCTCCGCAGTTCGTTATGTGCCGGGCAATCAAGACGGTTGAGAGCCTGTGGTGCGAGTGGACTGTTGGCCTGCCGGGCCGGCCGGGCAATGCATATCTCGACCGCAAATGGGGCAGCCGCTGGCGGGCGAGGCGGGGCGAGCTACAATGGTTCCTCGATGCGGCTACCGGTTATGAGGGAGACCCGGCGCGTCGCGCAGAGGCGGCAAGTCAGTGGGCAGTCGGCGATGCACGTGGTCAACATGCAGCAGCAGCAGACCGGCTGCTCTCTACACCAGTCTTGCCTGCCAAAGACCCAACCAAGCAGAGGCCCGGAGGGAGAGGAACTTCTTTTTATCTGCCCTTTTTGACCGCGGTACTTGTCAGCTCAATCCAACAGAAAATCGGTTTTTTCGGAAGGTGAGCCGCCCTGCCAAGGGAGCGCGAGATGGCGGCGGCGGCGCAACCTGAGGCAGTGATCGAGGTGGCCGACCGCCCACCGTCACCGAAACGACCGAGCCGCGCCCTAAAACCGAGTGCGAAAGTCCGTGAAGCGATGCAATCGCTGGAGGATGCGGCCATTACGTCGAGAAGAACCGCAATCAATGCTACACGAAGCACCG